GTGTGTGTGTGTGCGTGTGTGTGTGCGTGCATGCGTGTAGGCTGTCATTTCAGGAAGTGCCCCTGTGCTCACCCAAGGATAGCCTGATGTCCCCAGTGATCACAGACTCTATTGTCTGCAGGAGCGTGCCTGTGCCGGTCAATGCATATATGAGCAGTTAAGAGGTTGTGTGGGTGTGTGCAAGAGCATGTGCAAATGGCAATTCCACACTTTGATGAAATCTAATCTGGCAGATTGTATCCACGAGGGTAGGAGGTACCAGTAATTGTGGTTAATGAAAGCACATCCCAGCCTGACTTAGCAGGACCAATATGAGGAGACCACTGGTGACTCCTCTCGCATTGATTTCTGAGTCATGGCGAGCCTGATTTTCCACTCGTGATTGTTCAAGAATGACTGTAAGCCTATCATTGCTCTGCAGAGAGGCAGGCAGGAAAACATGCAAACCGACACAGTTAGACTGATTTCACTGGAAGTGTTTGTTTTTTCACCAAAACAACAAGAGCACCTTGCTGAACTCCCCACAGCTCATTCAGTGCTGTTTGTGTCTGCGACTTAAAAATAGGCGATGTGAGAGAAGCCTATAAATAACTCCATGTGTGTCGCACATTTTCAGAACTATCTGACAGATTTGTTTTTAGGCTGTTGATCTAAAAACAGCCAATAACTGATCAAACATTGCGCAAGTGACATCACGAGCATCAGCTCTCTGGAGATTAAAAGACTCGGAGCACAAATCAAATCTCCTCACCCTCCCATCCTCGATCATCTGCATTTGCAATGTACATTTTATGACTTTGATGCTTTAACTTGCTGCCTGTACGCAAGCTCTTTTATGACTATGAGTTGGCACAATATGATATCAGAGTAAAATAAACGCATCTCCTGGGCTGTAAACTCCAGAGAAGGAGAGTGGCTCAGGAAATAATGAGGGTTTAGATCAAAATATGACATATTTTGAGCAAAATCTCTTGTAGAAAACTGTTGTGCTGCTCTGCAGAAACGCTACCTTTGAAATTCAGCTCACAGCAAGCCTGTGCCACAAACCTGCCGTGAGACTAGAATGAGCTTCAAAAGGAAAACATTAAAATGATATCTGACGGCAGATGGTTCAACTTAGCTTGTTTACCCAATGGGCTGCAGCTCAGGCTGAGGTGTGAGAGAGACAAAGGGTTAACACCTCCCTGCCTGATGCCATCTGTAGCCCTCTCCACTCGCTGAGCCCTGAGTAGGCTAGCCTTACTCAAGCCTAAGCCATACAAATTAAAAACACTTAACATGTTTGTACAATGCTAACTGACTCATTCCTTGAAAGGAACCCAGCAGACTGAACTGACTCAGTGAACACAGCTACACTGATTATGACTATTACCGCACTGTACTAGTGATGGTAGGCAGGCAAAGCCAAATGCCTCCAGGCTTTTCCGCAGCTGGTAGTTTTCAATAACAGCTCTCTGAATAATTTTCAAACATTAATAATTTTGTGGGTGATCATGTCCAAAGTGTAATCCAACCATACTCTTTATTACCTGTAAGTCTACAGTGTATTTCTTGGTTCTTGGCGCTAACATCCAAAAACAGGGGCTGCTGCAAGCAATCATATTACATAGTACACAGTATATGCAATCATATACATAGCTGCAGATGCATTTAAATATTTATGTCTTTATTTAAGTAATTTGCCATTTTAGAGACCAGTCCTCTTTCAGAACTGTAGAGTAAATATTAAAATATTCACTTAGCCATACCCAAAAGATCAGCTAACATCAGCAACATATATCAATTTTTCATAACTATGAATAAACACCACCTCCGTTTAAAAAAAATAATGAGTCCTTAAAGTAGTTATTATCACAGTATTATTATACAAAATACTGAACCGCCCATTTTATTTGCTGACAATAGAGTTTAATGCCCTCTAGTGGACAAAAGAAACAACCCAACCCTATTTCTAAATGACCCATAAGACAGGCCAGAGCGCTTCTAAGACTAAGTCAACAGTGATCGCCGAGCTCGCAGAACATGCTGACGCTGGTATACATGTGACAAGCCAAAGTTTGCTGATCATAGGCTCAATAAGAAAGCTTCTGGTCATTCGTTTTCATGTGTAAGGTGAAAAATGCTGCCTAGTGGGACATTAGGCAGCGTTTTTGAGGTGGTAGGTGAGACAGCTGCTGAGACAACAACCCAGCTGGACGGACGAGATGCAAGCTAAAATATTAATTATCCGGTTTGACCAGGTGACATATAGTCGATCATTTTGAGTGGGGATAAATGAACTCAGAGGTCCTATCGCTAACCTTAGTATTTTAAAGCATTTTATGGGTGTAGGTTGCGGTGGGCCTTTTCTTCTTTTGCTTATGACCCATATAGCACCTCCAGGCGGTGTAATTAGTGTGACCTGCTCGTGTCAAAATGTTGTCAGCGTCCTTTTCTGTATCCCTGCTTGCTAAGTAATGATTCCCCCACCCCCGTGAGGACATGTAGGGAGGGGTTGAATGGATAAAATAGACAACTGTAAACACAGAGGCATCTTTCCACAATCGCACACTCCACCCTCACAACACGAAAGCACCTTGTGTACCTGCGTGGAGTCAGAGCTGGCGCTGGCTTTAATCCTGGTGCTGAGCTCGTCCTGTGTGATCTGGCTGTGGTTGTGCCTGCTGTAGAGCAGGCGGAGAGGCACCGTGTCCTCCTTCCCGACAAACCTGCCCGCATCACGAAGAGCCTTCAAGCTCGACAAGGCGTCTCCTGCACAGAGAGAGAGATAGAGAGAAAGGGGTAAACACCGACTTCATTACGCGCCCCGTTCCTCCGCGCGGAGATCAGCAGTGATAGAAACGCGCGGATCACAAACAGTTATGATTAAAATGTCGATGATTTTCATTTCCTTTTCACACAGTGGAAAAGCTGTGGGTTGCGTGCATGTTTTTAAATGCAGGAAGCATGAAGCAGACGAGGCGTTGATTAACAAATAAACACAGGCCCTTTGATAGTGATTTAACGCTTTGGCTGCGCAATAACAATTCATGCATCATCCAAAATAGCATCAGTTACCATCTCCGGCGTTAGGGCTGCTCTGGTGACCGACGTGCATCAATTCACAGACGCACAAAAGGGAAATCCACCATCGCGGGCGCATCATCAGCACCATCTCCTCCGTCTCTCTCTTTCTGTGTGGCTGAAAATTATAAACAATGCGGTATTCCAGGAGAGGACTCTCGGGGTCCTGCCTTCGCTAAGGGAGCTTGAAGCCGGGGCTGGTCGTCTGGTTAGTGCAGTGTCGCTGATGGGGGGCCATCGGGGGTGCTTAGGAGTCTGAACGCCGAGCGCGTTTGAGCGCACCGAAACCCCGCGGATCAGCAGCGCGGAGAATGCCGGAGGCGAGAGAGAGAGAAACAGAGAGGGAGGGAGGATGGGAGGGAGATCTAGGGACACCTCCTTAAAACACATCAGTGTTCGGCGGCTCACTGCAGAGACGCCTAATGCATAAATATGAGCGGAGGTTGGATGAGGAGAAAATGTGGGCTCGGCCTTCCGCCGACTGGACCTATCTGGGACGACATAAAAGCTCCTCCATGTTAAATCGCTGCAGAAGCGCCATTCCTGCCCAGTCTTGCCTGTTGTTATCATAATGACTCACTCCATCATCTGCCAGGCCTCCAAAAAAGGCATCCTTCACCCCTACCCAGGAAAAAAACAAAAACAAGAAATGAGATAAAATTGTGCAATTTAGAGTAAATGACCATTTTGTCTCTCCAGTCAAGTGATATTTTCTTATTTGTTGATGTTGCTTCTTCATCTTCCTTCAGAGATGAGTTGATCAGGTAAATTTGGAGATCCCAAAGTCGGTTAATGTACAGTAGGCTTCCACATTTATTTGTGCTCATTCAAAACTACCTATAAATATTTACCTACACTTGATAACTCCACACTCAAAAACTGAAGTTAATACATGAGCCAGGATCAGTGACAAACCCATCACACCACAGCGGCCTTTTAGTGGGCGTGGTTTATCCTCTCACTTTTAATACATACCTGTAGACTACTGCCAAAGATACACTTGTTCCCATTTGCTTTGTCGAATCTATGAAAAATATCAAAGATAATAGTTTGACAGAAATAAAATTATATTTTTGCACCAACAACATGACTGCCAAAAGGCTATTGGCTGTCTTGGTAATATAGTAACAAGTAGATATAAAAGTACCAGGCCTAAAAACAAAAAAACAAAAAGCAAAATCTACAACAAGTGAACAGTATCTGAAACCCATGTTCTTAAGAAATAGAAAGAAATAATTCAAAGACCTGACACAGGACCTGAGAGATGTATCTGTACCTATAGTTGATCTGCTGTTATCTGAAGCCTCATTAGAAATGGGCTCAGTGGAAGGGTGGCTGTCAGTCAAGAAGCCATTCTCAAGGAAGGAAAACAGGTGAAAAAGGCTGAGGTATGACAAATTACACAAGACCTGGACTGAAAATCAGTGGTAACAGATGTTGTGTAGTCATGAATTCAAAGTCAAAATTTCTGGCTGTTCAGAAGAGGTCAGGAAAAAAGAACAACAGTGAGTGCCTACAGCCATCTGTGAAACACGGTGGAGGCTCAGTCATGGTGTGGGGCCGAATTTTAGAGTGTGGTTTGGGGGATTTTATCATATTTGATGAATCTTTGAAAACAGAAAAGTACCATCACATTTTGATCCACCATGCAGTACCATCTGGAAAGCATCTGATTGACAACAGCTTATTTTTTAGCATGACAATTATCCCAAACATGGCACCAGTCCAGTAAAAGCAGAAAAAGTCCTAATTTTTAAATTTAGTAAACAGCAGCAGGAAATATTCAATATGTGTGCTCAGTAGGGCCTTACACACTTGAAAAAAAGCAACTTTTTAGTGCCCTCTAATGGACAAACTATATATTTGTGATACTCTTTAAATTTCCTTTATATATAATATATGCTGTATTCCATTATTAGCCAATATTTATACAGGTATGCATGTAAGCCATATTGGTCAGAAATGATGGTTTGTTAAGTATGATGATAAAACAGTGCTAACAGGATGCAACCAGCATGAAAGATGGCCATGTCAGGATTCAGCAGTCGTCAGTATCACTGTGCTTGTACCTCAGAACACATCGATGCTCATTTTCTTAATGCCAGTGGCGCAGACTCCCATTTGACCCGGCGCATCCATTTGAGAGTGGTGAGGGAGAACAAGGGCACTATGCTAATGCACTAAATGCAGGGAAAAGGAAGACGCTGAGCTAATGCATCAGGAGGAGAGGGAGGGGAAAAAAAAAAAAAAAAGCATGGCGGGGGTCATAAAAAGTGCACTTAGGAAGAATTTTTAAAATGTCACACATAACGCCAAATACCATGCAGACAACCTGCAGGTCATTCACATTACAACACACAGAAAGAGATGCTCGCAGTACAACAGGCATTTATTTGAATTACACATCCACATGTCTTGGAGGATTAAAGATAATTGTCATGACTGAAGCTGCCTTTTATCCATAAGATACTATTTATATTCTACAGTCAGCATTCATGGAAAGAAAATCATGTAAAATGAAAATTGCACCAATTTTTCATAGATTTTTTTTTTTTTTCAAATGGCAATAAAACAAAACATAGCTGCTCTGACATTACCGTACCCCATCAGTGTCAAAATACTGAAATGTATTCACAATATTCTTTCACAGAAGACGACCATTTCAAGACAGTTGCTCACTTCCTTTATTAAACACATGCCCGTTCACAGGAGAAGCAGGAGAGCCACACAACCACACACCGTCTTAAAGTCAAGTCAGATGTAGACTGAGCAAAAGGGACTTGGAGCTAACGTTAAGCTGGCACTACATTTCATGTACTCAGCAGATTACTCTGGTCAAAGAAATGTTTTGACTGATTTCACGTACTTTTTACAGGTTCAAGTATGTAAAATACTGACTTGCAGTTGCTGTCCCTTTTAAAAAGGGACTCTTTTGTGTTTTCCCTTATTTAGTTTGTTTTAGGACGGCCAAAGCTTCATATAAAGATGTCACTGTATATGAACATAATGTCAATGAGTAAAAGGTTTAGGCTTCAGACTGTTTTTCCCATTCTTAGCTCCATATGATTTCATAGAGAGAGGCTCTAGTGGGGGGGGGACGGGGACTAGGGCTATATGGTTAGCAATAACAATATTACTAGGGCCACTCTAAGTTTTACAATATATACTACTCTGTAAACAAAATGTTAAAAATCACCATCATCTGATTGAAGAGGGAGAGCTGATGCATTTCTTATCAAACACAAAAGCCAGGACCTTCTATTAACATCTTAAATCTAACAGCCTGTGTAGTCCAGGACACAGGAATTCAAGCTAATCCCTTTAGCTTGTCTATTTGTAGTCCTCGAAGCCATGAAACTCCACATCCATGTCATCACTGGACTGGAAAAGCTTCCAGAGCTTCAATAAAGAGTTATCAGAAACATCGCCAGGCTCTACATGTTCGATGTTTGTGTCCAATTTTCGTCTTTTGTGCTTGTAAACTTTTATCCTCCTCTGAATTTTCTGGACTGGAGAGCAGCTTTCTGTAGGAAGGCATCCTTCTTTCTTTCCAGAGTCATTTTTTCCAGTCACTTTCTTATCAGACTGTTGTTCATTTTCAAAAAAACTGAGGCTTTTTGAGGACAAATTATTCTGTATGTTCATATTATCAACGCGCAAAGTTGAGCTGTTTATATCCTCATGAGGTATCTGGTCCAGCAGGTCATCCTGGCAATCTCTGGTGGGCAAAGAGGGAAGAAATTCACCTCTTGATGGGGCTTCTTCTGACTCAAACTGAGGACTTTGAGGCCGATTAGATTTTTGGGTGCGGGAAGTGTGTGAATTCTGTCTGCACATCCGTTTACGTTCAAGCAACTTGTGCCTGGATCTGTCTGAGTAAGTGTAGCAGTTCCTCTGGTCGCCCTCTCTGTCAATCAATTCAGCAGAGGCAGGCACGGACGCGATTTTTATATCCCGTCTGGAATTTAATTCTTCGTTCACATCAACAGTCCATGGCTCCTCTTCTTGAACCGTCTCTGAAGGATCTCCCTTGTACCTTAGTTCAGGTTTTCTACATGGTCCAGGAGCAATCAGAACACAGGAAACACTGCACTTTGGTCTAATGGGAATCAAAGAAAAAACAAAACAAAACAAAACCTTTAATTAGCTAAATGGGATAAAAATATTAAGGAAAAACAATTTACAAGAGATTTAAATTGGGTTTTGTTTTTTGACAAATTTTGGTAAAAAAAAAAAAACAAACAAAAACCAAACAAACAAAAATTACCTTTTGAGTTTAGCTCCTTTAACGTGCATGAAGTTGTGGTTCAAGGTTGAAATCAATCTGTCCACCAGCAAGTACTCATCACTCTTAGAGAAAGCCCTGTGACTCTCACTCTGCAGATGCTGAACAAAAAAGACAGTTAAATAATGGAGAATTACCGCAGTCCATCCAAGGCCAGTGAGCCTCTACGGCACAAACACCTACATACAAAAAGAGGCATTTGAAGCTCCTGCCACATAACTGTTCACAGTGAATAAAAGCAATTTACTGAGCAACCCATTAGAGCAAAGCAGCCAATGAGCAGTTTTTCCATGATTGTGTTAAACACCAGAGAACACTGATGAGGGACTTGAAACAGATGTACGAACAGACAGGTTTGGTTAGTTTTCTTCTCAGTTAAATACTTTATTTGACACAATTTATCATTAATACATTTCTGTCTATGTCTGCAAGCAATACTGTGCTTAACTGGAATAAAAGTGGTTCATTCTGGACCAGATAACCTGCATTAATGTGATCAAAGTAACAGATCTAAAGTTGTAAATCTGCTTTTTTCCATATACACTACATCTATCACCCAAAACAAAAACTTAATGTTTTCAAGTTTATCAGTTAGTTTCACATTATATTACATGATGTTAGGAAATGCCAACAAAGAAATGTACCACACATCTGCTAGCTAAGCAAATAAAGAACCTTCTATCAGATAATTACTGCAGCAATTAAAACATTTAACCTTAACTAATGTTCTGGTAACCTCTTAAAACAGCTAAAGTAAGAAGACACAGCTCATCAAAGTGGAGAAGATATTACTCTGTTTCAGAAGGTCAAATTATTCAAGAAGCTTATTGTCATGTACACGGCAAAACACAAATGGTTACACAGAAAAATGAAATTCTTACTTTGCAGTTCTCACAATAAGTAAAACAGTGTTTTGTAACACTTTTAGCTAATGTGTGGCTGTAATCAGAATTACACCCACACATTAGCCTGCATGAAGCTAAGCAAACTACTAAGGAGGATGCTGAAACTACTGAAACTGGGTGAATAACTGTCTGACAAAGTGGTCACCC